TTCACATCCATTACGGCGTGTGTGTTGTGCGGCAAATGTGTGAACACTTTAGAATCAATTGCTTTTCCCTTAAGAAGAGAGACGACAGTGAAGAAGCTGTTAGTTTAGGTAAAGTTAAGATATGAATCAATGGTTTCGATAGTTATTTGCAAACAAATAATCTTCTCTTAGTTTAAGAACTGGTAAAACATGGAATCGATTCATTCGACTCAAACCCCAAACATTAATAGATTAAGATTTTTAACATAATTTCACTCAAATATAAAACAAACATTGGTTTATAATTACAATAAACTAATAGCTGGATCATTTGTTATAATTCTGTGTTTATACAGAACAATGTTATTCGACGAACAAAACTAACTATGAATTCAACTCTTAAATGGGTTTTTGTTTTGTTTAAACCAAATAATTATTTGTAAATTTAATTTTTTCCACATAAATATTTACTACAATTATATCTATGATTTACTTTTTATGTAAATTCTCTTAAATTAAGGGAATTTTCTTTTAATTTGGACTCTTTGCCAAACTTCCAAATCAAATAAAACTAGTCTTAAGTTTGAAATTATTTTTCTTAACTAATATCGAAATATTGAACAAAATAAAGTCATTTCAATGAAATTGTTTTTAGGGTAAAACTTTTTTGCTACAAATATTTATAGTTGTTTTTTCTTAATTAAATGATATTATTTATACAAATATGTCAATTTTATATAATTTTCAATAAATTCATATATATTTTAAAACAAGTCTTCATAAAATAAAATTCATAAAATTCTGTGTTTGTGTGTGACATTCATTTATTATATATTTACATACAACTCATTGCACTCTAATCGCGATTACTGTATGGATGTACAGTACTGTCTATTATTATCAAATCATTTGCAGCACAGGTATTATATGATATGACAGTGTGTTACAGATACAGTACAATCATATACAGTAATAACCCACTAAACTATGCATTCTGTAGATTCTAAATGTATTAATATATACAGTATTGTATGGAGAATATTATTAGTTTATGTAAGAGTTTGCATTCAAATATTGTGATTACTAATAAGTAGTGTATATAATAGGAAAGGATTGAAAGTATTAAGGATTGGGAGGATTGGGAGGATTGGGAGAAAAGGAGCGCTTGAAAGGGGTTTAGAAAGGATTGCTTCTCTCTCCACAACAATCGCCAGAATATGAAAGCCGTAAGCAGTGAATGAATGGTGGCTTCCGTGCAGTGCATTGCCATACAGTCGCCAAACATGCAATTCATGTGACCTTCAGTTATGGCGTCTTTGTTTGCATCCATACATCCATACCATTCACAGACACAGTCATCACACACCACACACACACTGATCCCACCTCAAGACATCACCACTCAGTGTCCAAGCAACCAACACTCACCGAGGCTTCTCTCTGGCTGTTTGTCCGCACTTTGAATGCCATATAAAGTGATTGAATCCGTGAAACATAAGCCAAGAGTTGTCTCCAATTGGTGTCTATTGTCTTCAGCAATGCAAACCTCAGGTAAACACATATTCCTCTGCAACACATGCATTGCTCGCATGAATGGCTCATATATGGTGTCATTTGATGACTATTTGATCACTTCTTATAAGTTTGAGCCATGAAAGCAAATATTTGTTTCTTTGTATGAATTTATAATAAGTTTTAAATATAATAGAAATGAATGGAAATTATGTGTAAAATAGCACTCATTTGACAAACTTATGGATCGAGTCTTATGTCCAACACTTGGTCTCACTTTTGGTTAAATGACTACCATTTCAGACCAAAGTTAGCGAACAAATTGAAACTTTCAATATAAAAGTTGTCTAAAGTTTTGAGTGAAAACTAACACAAAATGATGGTTAAAGTTGGGAACAGTTAGGAGACACAGACTGAACAGTGAACAGTGAATGGAGTCTATAATGAAAACTAATTATTTTGTTTATTATTCAATTGATTAATAGCCGAAACATGTGACTGGTTTTGACGAGTATTTCATTCACAAAATGAATGAATTGTAATCATTATGAGAAACACTGGAAATATCCATAACTTGAATGGTGTGAACGGAATGAACATTAACANAGATGCCTCTTCACGTCTTTGCGCGTGAAAAACATGCCTAAAACGAGTCAACCATTAGTCAGACAATCAAGCAATTGGTGGCAAATGGGTCTCACGTTCGCATTGATCGCATTTGAACCGTCTCTCAGAAGGCGGTCTCTTCGTGGGTCGGGAACAGCTGTCCACACATTTGGTCTTTGGTTGCGACTTCTTGGCCAATACGGCACCCATGGGTTGGCCATCGTTTCGGGTATTACTGTTCAGATTAATAGCTGTCGAACTATTGGTCTCAATGTTAATGGTATTGATGTTAATGTTCATTCCGTTCACACCATTCAAGTTATGGATATTTCCAGTGTTTCTCATAATGATTACAATTCATTCATTTTGTGAATGAAATACTCGTCAAAACCAGTCACATGTTTCGGCTATTAATCAATTGAATAATAAACAAAATAATTAGTTTTCATTATAGACTCCATTCACTGTTCACTGTTCAGTCTGTGTCTCCTAACTGTTCCCAACTTTAACCATCATTTTGTGTTAGTTTTCACTCAAAACTTTAGACAACTTTTATATTGAAAGTTTCAATTTGTTCGCTAACTTTGGTCTGAAATGGTAGTCATTTAACCAAAAGTGAGACCAAGTGTTGGACATAAGACTCGATCCATAAGTTTGTCAAATGAGTGCTATTTTACACATAATTTCCATTCATTTCTATTATATTTAAAACTTATTATAAATTCATACAAAGAAACAAATATTTGCTTTCATGGCTCAAACTTATAAGAAGTGATCAAATAGTCATCAAATGACACCATATATGAGCCATTCATGCGAGCAATGCATGTGTTGCAGAGGAATATGTGTTTACCTGAGGTTTGCATTGCTGAAGACAATAGACACCAATTGGAGACAACTCTTGGCTTATGTTTCACGGATTCAATCACTTTATATGGCATTCAAAGTGCGGACAAACAGCCAGAGAGAAGCCTCGGTGAGTGTTGGTTGCTTGGACACTGAGTGGTGATGTCTTGAGGTGGGATCAGTGTGTGTGTGGTGTGTGATGACTGTGTCTGTGAATGGTATGGATGTATGGATGCAAACAAAGACGCCATAACTGAAGGTCACATGAATTGCATGTTTGGCGACTGTATGGCAATGCACTGCACGGAAGCCACCATTCATTCACTGCTTACGGCTTTCATATTCTGGCGATTGTTGTGGAGAGAGAAGCAATCCTTTCTAAACCCCTTTCAAGCGCTCCTTTTCTCCCAATCCTCCCAATCCTCCCAATCCTTAATACTTTCAATCCTTTCCTATTATATACACTACTTATTAGTAATCACAATATTTGAATGCAAACTCTTACATAAACTAATAATATTCTCCATACAATACTGTATATATTAATACATTTAGAATCTACAGAATGCATAGTTTAGTGGGTTATTACTGTATATGATTGTACTGTACCGGTAACACACTGTCATATCATATAATACCTGTGCTGCAAATGATTTGATAATAATAGACAGTACTGTACATCCATACAGTAATCGCGATTAGAGTGCAATGAGTTGTATGTAAATATATAATAAATGAATGTCACACACAAACACAGAATTTTATGAATTTTATTTTATGAAGACTTGTTTTAAAATATATATGAATTTATTGAAAATTATATAAAATTGACATATTTGTATAAATAATATCATTTAATTAAGAAAAAACAA